TATACATGCGGGCTCCAATCTCTCCCTTCCAATTTTTCTTTTACATAATACAGTGGAATCCGCTTATTGTGGGCACCGGTTAATATGGGCATCCGCTTATTGTGGGCAAACAGGTCTGGTCCCGATACAAATGTATATTAACAATGTTAAATCTAACTGCGTAATATTGGTTAAGCAGGTGGAAGAATAGACACGAGATAAAATTCAAACGTGTGCATGGTGAAAAAGCAAGTGTTGATGAATTTGCCTCTAATAATTGGAAAGTTGACAGGCTAAAAATAATTTTGAACGACTTTTCCCCAGATAACATATTTAATGAAGATGAAACTGGACTGTATTTATCGAGCGACACCCAACGGTTCTTTATGTTTTAAAAAAGACGTTYTGTCTGATTAAAAAAAAAGCAATGGACAGGATTACAGTTTTATTATGTGTCAATATGACCGGGAGTGATAAGAGATATATAAGTTATATGATAATAAAAATAAAAACTTTTTTGTATACCTAATAATTTTTTTTTAACTAATTTCAGTTTTTATGGGCAACCGCTTAATGTGGGCAAACAGAGCTGGTCCCAACGTGCCCACATTAAGCGGAATCCACTGYATAACTCAATTTGATATTTGTGTACACAATTTTTAAACATTAATAACCACTTGAGCCATAAATAATCAATATATCACGATTAAATTATTAAATTATTTTATTGTTTTTTCTTGTGATTGCATACTGCATGTCTGCATTTACTGCAAAAAAAAACTTACAAACCATTGATTCTTCTAGTGAAATTTCTGTTTGTACGGTTACGAACGCTAAGCGCATCATCTTTGCCGCTTTGAAATGGACGTTGGTAAATTAAATTATTCATTTATCTGAACAGAATATATTAAATTGGCTGTGCCACAGATTTATACTTTTAAAGATATATTACAAGTTTGTGCATAGACGTCTTACCGTCCACACGTATATTTGTCAAGCGTTCCGTCTTTATCAGCTTCCGATAGCGTGTGTAGTTGTTGTGACCARTTTCGTCGCATACCTGTACCTTCGGTAATGTATTATTACTTCATAATTACCTTCAACCGTTACTTATCAACATAGGCGTGTCTAGACCTTTGACGCAGAGGGTGCAACCTGGTGCGAACCCAAGGGACTATAATGGGCCTTTGTCCTCTTTTTTGAACAATTTTTCTTAATTCATGGTGCCATTTGAAATCGCAGAGGGTGCAGGTGCATACCCTGCACCCCCCGTGGACACGCCTATGCTTATCAACATCATTATGAGTCTTCCTAATCACCCACCGATTCCTATCGCAAAAAGTAATACAAGACCAACAATTAATAA